GTATAAAAATACTAGAGTATAATAATCATTGGAACAAACTAAACGGACAACATTTTTTAATCATTGGAAGTATAACCGACGAATTAATCAATGAATTAAACCTTACAGAGGAGAACTAAGACTGGGGGAATGAAATCAATAAGAACTTTTGAAGAGTCTTCAACAGTCTCGCCAGGTTCTCTAAGGTTTCTATCAATGATTCACAGGTTTTTTGGAATCTGCATATTCAATGCAATCTATGTCTTCCACTCCTACTCAAAACAAAACGGAAAAAAAACGTAAGGGGAAAAGAAAACCGAAAATCAAACAAGAGATAGTGATCTACAATTCTGAACAGGCGAATTAAGAATTCAACTAAACGAACCCAAAATTAATTGGCCTACAATAAATACCACAAACCAAAACAAAATACTAACAAATTTTCTCTGTTGTATGATTCTGTAGTCTTCCACAGACGATGGTCCCATATAATAAGCAATTAAAAACATGCACAGCGTAATAACTAATTTGATTATATCGTGAAACTTACATTAAATTATATGATTAAAAAAATATTTTCATACCTTTAACGGTTGAAATACGTACCATCAATTATCAAATCCTGATGTCTGGGGTTCATCATACAGGTGCGTCCATGGTAGTCGTAATATGGGTTAGGGTAACTGAATGCATCTGCAAAATCGAACTGTAACCCAAGAGCTTTGCAACGATCTATAATCGCCTCACTGGAGTCATCCGCCGTACAAACCATCAAAATCCCTCTCCTTCTGATCAATTCTCTTCACCTCCGATTCCGACGACCCAATCTCTTTCTCTAATTTATTAATCGCGGACAGTTCAGCTTTTCGGTGGTCATACAGAGTCTCAGATAGGGTTGGAAAAGAGTCCACCACCACGTAACGCTTTCTGTAACCGTGGATAGGCGGCAACTCACGCGCAGGAACCCTTCCTGTACACTTTTGGAGGCGGATCTATGAGCGGATAAGGGTCCATGGATAAACGAAACACAAAATCGATCTGGGCTGGGGAGAATATCTGTGATTGAAAATTAATTATTACCAAGTCAAGTGAGTACAGACATCTTCCTTCTCTCTCTATGTATATATGTAAATTAAACTTTAAATAACGGTTCTCTCTAGTATTTGAAGTTCAAATTTTGAACTTTAATTTTTTACTCCCTCCGTCCCCCCCAAAAAAAATAGTCCACTTTGAGTTTTAGAATTTGTACTAAAAAAAGGACAAATCTAAAAACTTAATGTGGACTATTTTTTTGGAACAAAAGTAATATTATTTTTTCCCTATGTATAAAATAGAACATTTGGTTTTTATTTTAACATTTAATAATTGTAGAAATATAAAGGGGGAAAAAATGGTCTTCGATCAAATTAAGCATTAAATCTCCATTATATTTGTACGATACTTAAAAAAAAATTCTTTTTACAAAAAGAAAAAAACCAATGGAAAAAGGCACTTTTAACTGATTCCTCACATACTGTACCTACACTGAATTCATAGATACAAGAGGAGATGTTGGTCAAACGGAGCTTATCGCACAATTATGCCATATAAAACTCATTATGACAAGAATTTCAAAAAAGTGAAAATAGCTCACCAAAAAATAAAGATAAAAATTAAATAAATAAAGTGTATTCGCTCTGATCCAAAATTATTGTTCAAAATGAGATTTCACGTTTAGTACAATTTGAATTAGAAATAAAAATCCAAATTGCATAATAATTATAAAACGGAAGGAGTAAATCTTAGCAAATTTTGCGACAACACTGACGTTCAATATATCAAGCTACACTCTGGATTCATAAAATTTACAACCAGCAACTTTGCTACTTGCAAAATGGTAATTCGTAGAGTAGAGATTATGACAAATTACTTCAAACAAAACATCAACTTTTTCTTTTCTTCTTCTTCAAGTTTATGACCTACAAGCTTGGCGACTGTGACTTGTTTCTCCTATATTTTTGCTTCTGCTCCATGTCTTATCAGAAACTTAATAATTAGCCCTTCTTGTTTTTCCAAGAGGAAGAATCAAGGGATTGTAAAATCTAATTAGCACCAATAGCTTTAACCAAATATAGAGTACAAACTTGTTAGATCTATGGTAATAAAATGGTCATGCATACCTCTATACGTTCATAAAAATAAGCCATCATATTGGCATTAGTTTTCATCCACACTAAAAGAAAAAATCGCAAGAGAATCAAATCCATCTTTTTCATTATGGAACTGCTGCTCTAACTCTCTCAATGGGTTAAAATAGTCCACATTGGTTTTAAGTTTTACGTGGTTGCACCTTCATCGATTTAAGCAGTATTGTAAATTACATCATCAAATTACAGTACAAATTGTGAATTTCAGTTTAATCTCCTCAAAATTACCTCCATAGAAGAGGCTAGAAACTACTAGGTACGGTGATTATGATACTCTGAAAGTTATATGGATCATCTACTTGACTGAAAATGAAAAGTTCCCTAGAAAATAGAGATAACACAAATACATTGATGCTCAAGAGAATGAGAATAGTTATGCCACATGCCAATACCTTGAAAGTTGACCAATCAGCTTCTAGTATGATACTAGTTATAGAACTTCTTTTTTTTTTTTTTCAAGGAATAGTCATATACCATTAATTGATTGTGTTTTGTGTTGGACTTATCAAGAATTCGCGATATTTAACCCCACACATCCACATCCATCAGGTGATTATGAATTTTCTGTTTGTTGCACCATGCAAAACTTAGCATTTTAAGCAGTAGAATGCATATTTTGGTTAAAGTTTATCGATTCATAATACTATTTCTATCTTCTAAGTAACCCAAGTCAACGCAATTCTTGGCCTCCTTTCAATAAAATTATAAAACGATGACCTCTCAAGGGCAAGAAACTCCTTCTATCCATATTATCAGATCTTGAAGCTCTCATTTTCAATTTTTACCTCACATGAATGTCATTTGTTCAGAACCTCATCAGCTAGTTATTTAGGTCTCCAAACAAAACAAAAATTCGAGGAGAAACAAATGAAACTCAAGAAAGGAAATAATACAGCCCCACACTCAAATGTTAACTTCTTTTTTGCTAAAATAATACTTTCTCCTTGTCGAGATAATTGTGCAGGTCGGAGTCTCATTTCTAGTAAGATTTATATTAAAATTAAATCTTAATTAAAGAATCATTGAGGGACGAATGAGGTAGAACTTGAATGAAAAACCATTCAAACTGAAAAATACTTTAGAAAACTTTAGAGCAACAATCCAAATACTTGACCTTAAGTTTTTTGAAAGCAACCCTTCAAAAAGCCTTAATTGAAAGTTTGCATAATCGAAACAATTAAACAAAGCCCAAACAATTTATTTTCAAAAATCTCAGACAATTAAACATACAAAATAAATGAGCCAGTAAATTTTCAAAGCCTCAACCCTTCCATCAAATTCGGACTATTATCCACAATCCTTGCACAATTCATGTAATAATAATTTGATTATTTTCAAATATAATTTTTTAGTTTGGATGTTTTTAACCAGGATATTTTTTAACACAAATATCCATAAAAAAAATCCAAAGAAAAGAAACTCAAGACGAGTTCTTTTTTTTTTCTTTTTATGAATCCATTTTGTAAATCTTGTTCCCTACAATTTCATAAGTTAAAAAATATGCAAAATAAGAAATTAGATTAGAAGATATTTTTAAACTAACTTATTTTTATGTTAGAAAGTTCCATAAAAGTAATACTTTTACTTTATCCATGTCTATTAAATTAGAAAAAAATAAAAAATTTTGCAAAAAAAGTACAATTATATTTATTATTTTTCATTTTCGATAAAAATATAATTTTCAAATTTTATTAATTTAATATCTATTTAAATTCTTTTTAATTAATAGAATTATTTTCATATTTATATTCATATAAAATTTTATTCAAAATTTTAAAAAATATTATTACGGAAATATCCTTATTGACTTGATCCTAAAACTAGTCGAAGTGTATGAATAGTATTAAAGTACAAAAAAATAAGAATTCTAAACTATAAAAGACTATTTTAGTCAAATATTAATATAGAGGACCGAACATTTTCATATTTTACTCATACATATATGTGGGGGTTGGGGAGATGAAGGGGGCCAAATTTGTACAATAAAAAATTTATTTTTTTGAGAAAAATTATATTCTTTACATCTTAAAATAATAATTTTGTTTAGACTTTGATTTTTAATGCAATTTATACAAATTGAAAATCTGAATTCGACAGTCATTTCGGAGTGGTGGAAATACTACATATGAAGGGGCTAAGAAAACTGATAGTTACTTGCATTTAGCGTGTTTCAAGGTAAACTAATTGCGCCTTGCTCAGTTTGTGTAACTTCTATGGTACTGTAAAACAAAACGAATTTTTGTCAATATTTGGCTTTGCCACCAAATTAACATTACAGAAGGGCGGAAATCAACAACGGCAAATGTACTTTCAGGAATTTTTCCCCCAAGAAAAAAACTTTCAGGAAGAGCCCACTATAGTTAAGGAATCAAAACCAAATAATCTGTCATCAATATCATGATTGTACCATTTAGATTTTCAATTTTAGTTTGAATTTTATTAAAAATAAAAGTTCAGTACGAGATGAAATGAGTAAAAATATAGAGAAACCAAAAAATAAAAAGCAAATTTAAAATTAGCTGAATTTTGGACAAAAGAAGATTTGAAGCACAGAATAAGAGCGGGCCGGCAGAGGAGCCTTCAACGGCTACTTATTCCCACTGTAGAATAACTCCAAAGTGACAACCGACCTTCAGATTCAGAACAACTTTATCCAGCCTTGCCAGCTCCGCCCCACCACCATCCACCACCCACCACCATTCTTCCATCTCCATGTATAAAAAGCCCTCCTTATACACGCATTCCAAGAAAACCATATCCCACATTATTCCTTCCGCAAAAATTCATGCAAGCATTTTTTCATAGAAAAGCAAATTACCCTGCTTCTCTATTAAAATGCAGCAGAAGAGAAGATTAACAGTCATTCTAAAGAAAGCTTCTAGGCTACTGAAAGTTCCAATCTTGGTATCCAGGATGAGGACATCAGTCAACATTCCGAGGCTAATTTCAGTCCAGAAGTCAAGCAAGAAGATGAAGAAATTCATTCTCCTCAGGCATTACAACTATAATTATGTTCATGAGTATCAGTTCTCCCCATCAAATAGTCCACTCAGCCTCAGTCACAGCATTTACCGAAGGGCAGCAAAGAAAAGAAGGTACGAAGAAATTTGCTCCATTTTTCCGATTGGGAATTGCTTAGGTGTGATAAATAAAGAGACGGAAAACAGGGGATATCCGTTGATGGAGTTGAAGGCTGTGCCTTACATTGAAAATTCAATCACTGAGGAATTGTATGATGATAGTGAAGAAGATCGTGGTGATGTTGACTCCATTGACGAAAGGGCTGAGAAGTTTATTGAGAGGTTCTATGAAGAGATTAGAATGCAGAGGAAGGAATCCCAATCTTTAGTTCACTCCAATCCTGTCATTCTGGATTTGATGGATTAGCTGTTTTCAATTTTTGTTGGAGTCGTAGAATTTTTTTTTTTCTCTCTTCGTTTTGATTTTAAATTTTAGAGAGTGATTCATTGCAAAGTTTATCATCTGGAATGTATGTCCGCGGTATTACAGTCACATTGGCCATGCTTGCGCCTATGTCTCCTTTGACGTCCTATATAGGTTTGTTTCTCACTTTTATCTACTTTTTTTTTGGGATCACTGGAGCACTACTCTGTTTGTATCAATAGTTTCTTTTGCTTTTTACGCAACTTCTCATTAACTTGTTCATTGTATTTCAGCCAATTTATGAGCAATACCATTACTACCATTATTGTTATCTTGTTCTTAACATTGCAAATTCTCCAGATCATAAAAAGAGCCAACGAAAATAGAGACAAAGAATCTGCCAATGAATTTCGTGAAGATGCATTATGTTTGAGTGCTCGATTTTGTTTGGAGTTTCAAAAGGACATGGATGCTCTTCAATGTCTTCACCCTACCCATGAACCCCGTGTCTCTGATCATGTAGAAGATATTAAACAAATGATATCTCAGGTATTTATCTCCTATTTTTATTAAGCTCTATGCAGGTATTCTGTAATGTTGAATAGCTACAAATATGGCGTAAAAACTTTGTCCGCATAAATATAGCTGCATAACTGAGTGCAACCTATTTAAATTGTATTTTACTGATCTTTCTTTTGTTAGGCTTTTGCATATTTTTCAAGAGATCTCAAACTTTCTCTAAAATAACTTTACACAACCTTTTTCTAAAATGTTATTTCCCCCATAATGTCTTTACACTATGCCATTTTCCTCACTTCTATCCAATATTCTTTCTAAAAGAAAATTCTCTCTGGAAGTGTTTCCTTCTGAAGAATTATTTTTGTTCGAAGTAGTTTCAATGTAGCCTTTGTTGCCGCTGTTAGTCTATTTTCTGTTCTTAATGTCTCGACAGTTGTAAAGTTTTCTGTCCATTCTTAGTATATAGTTTACGGTCCCTTCTTAGTATATCTGCTATGGCCTTCTAAATCCTACGTGTGGCCTTCTAAATTCTGTGTGTTATACTAACTATAAACGACATTGATGTGGTGGTAGATGTGGCATATGCACTATGTGATAACTCTCGTTCCATTTTGTTGATACATTGTGGCTTTTGTTCTTCTATAACAGGGGTTATGTATTTTTTTTAATTGATTATTGTGATTTTTCCTTTTTTTTTGGGCAGATTATAGACAATGGTTGTGCTTACATAGTTGATGGGGATGTGTACTTTTCTATTGATAATGTTCCAAACTATGGAGTACTATCTAGAAGAAATTTGGGGAGTACTATCCAGAAGAAATTTGGTGGATAATAGAGCTGGAGAACGAGTTGCTGTTGATTCAAGGAAGCAAAACCCAGCGGACTTTGCCTTGTGGAAAGTGAAAAATAGTTATATCTTTAGTTTATGAAATACCAATTTTATATCACTCATCCCATATCAATCTGATGAACAAGTTGGAGCAATGTCTGCATAAATGTTTTTTGCGAGAACAGTTATAATTTGCTTTTATCAAATTGAATCAAATTTGAATGACATTATTTGATGAAAAGTTAACCCCATCTTGATTTGACCCAGGATTTTGGGCTGTTGGTTGTTTTCATTTAGTAGTATTAAGATTGGACTTGTATATTGATAATTATAATAAAATTCATTTTATTATAATCTTCTAGTCCTAACTTAGTTATATTTTAGTGATTATTAATGGATTTTGTTATGACTTTGTTGTAGGTACCAAAAAATGAAAAGATGGACCATTTTGGATTTACAGTCCTTTTACAAAGTTCTACTGATTTAAAAGATTGAAGAAAATTTCAGCTGCAAAGAATACACACAAATGGGTTACTAGAAGATTTTTTTTACCAAGTCCACCATCCAAATCTTGATCTCATATTCGGTTGTAGAGAATCATGCAAAAAAATACTGATTTAGTGAAAAACTAGGATGGGATTTGATTTGGATTTTACTCCCATTTCTTTGAGATTTTTGTTCAGCTATTATGTACTATAAATAGTGGTCTCCTCAATTGATAAAAACACAACACACCCATAGCAAGCATTAGGCTGCTACCACTTTTCTCCATTTTTGCCACTATTTTTATTTTAGCTTTTTATTTTGTTTTATTTTATTTTAAACCTTCAAAGATGTTTTTAGTCACAATGAGTGGCTAGTTTTCTTCATTTGGTTTAAGTTATTTTATTCCTTTATATTATATGTGAGACTACAAGTTTCACTTTATTTCTTTTATACTTTAATTCAAGTATCTATTGATTTTGATTTCTTTTTATGAGAGTAAATACTTGATTAATCTGACAATTTAATCAAGAATTTTCTTCCTACTGCTACCAAATTATTTATGTTGCGCTATCGTATTAAACATTTGGCACTAAGTAGCACATTAACAGATTATGCATGTTGGTAGTGATACATTGAACGTGCATAATTAGTCTAACTAGGGATCAATAGGACAAAAACATTCTAATTGCAGCTATCTTAATTATTTTAGTTTTTGGTTCAACTAAATTTTCAAAGTTTTTATTGCTAGTATAATTTAACATGGAACGCTATCGTGCCCAGTTAAATTATACTAAGTTTTGATTAGGTTCTGGGCTTGGTCAAATATTTTTGAAAAATATAAGGTTTTTTTACGGCTATCCTATTAAACCTGCGGTTGAATGCTTGAATGGTAGAAAAATAATCTTTTTAGTCAATGATCTATAATATAATTGAATTCATTTCTTGAACCAAACTTTTCTATTATTGTTTTTCTCTGCAATCCTATTTAGTTTAATTTGTCATTTTATTTTGAAGAAAGAAAAATCCCCCCAGTTTGCGTTTTTATAAAGCCAAGTGTTAAAAGTCGGCTCTCTTGGGATTCGACCTGATTCCACTATTTTTACAAATTAATTTTTTGGTCTGTTTGGAATTCAGATTAATTTTTACGGGTCTCGACAAACCCGTCAAAATTTTGGCGCCGTTGCCGGGGAGCCACTTCCTTTGGCTCTTGGTTTTATTATTTTATTACTTTTTTCTCTTATTCCAAAAAAACGAAAAAAAAAGTTGGTTAAGTTTTAGTGTAGTAGTACTTTTTTTCTTACTATTATTATTATAAAAAAAAGATTTTTTTTTTGTTTTTATCTTGTGTTGGTATTTTCTTTTTCTCGCTAATTATTTTTTACTTCGTTCTAATTCACAAGCCATCATTTCCATTGCAGATCATCTTTTGCCCAGTAGCAGTGCATCGGTTGGCCTCCGATTTGGAATTTTGATCTTTGAAAATTTTTTTTTGCAGTAGCCACTAACGGCTCAATCCAGGGAGCAACTTGTTTTTGGTGGAAAAGTTTCATTGTTATATTTATTCGAATTTTGAGTTGTGTTCTTATTTGTGCAATTTTTTGTGTTAAGTTAATAATTGCCTTATTTTGTTTTTATTTTTTTTAATCTAACTGTCGTTCTCTACCATAATTGTTTCTAAAAAAAAAAATTCCCATTTTTTTTGTGTGCAAGAAGAAGTCTCCTTGTGTCCGTTTTTTGTGCTGTTTTCCATCTCTATTCATCCGTGCAAATTATTTAATTTTGTAGGTGCATGCTAGTAAGTGTAGGAATTTTATCATTTTAGATTGCTAGTTTTTGTGGATTTTTCTTGAGCTTTCTGGTTTATGAGTAGCCGTCGTACTGGAAATAGTGAGCTTGATTATATTCCTGAAATTGAAAAAGTTGCTCGGTTTTTTGAGAAAGGAAGCTAAGAAAAAGAAAACTAATTTGCATTCTAGGGTGAATTTACATTCTCATTCATCAAATTTTGATAATTTTGATTCTCACGAAGAAGAAAATATGGGTGAAAATAATAGAACTTTAAAAGAATTAGCTGCACCAAATTTAAATCAGCAACCTTTGTGCATAAATTTTCCGAATGTTGAAGCAGCATTTGAGCTTAAATCTGGTCTGATACATTTACTTCCTACTTTTCGCGGTCTTGCAGGAGAAGACCCCCACAAGCATTTGAAGGAATTCCATGTTGTCTGTTCAACAATGAAACCACAGGGTGTTACTGAAGAGCAGATTAAACTAAGAGCGTTTCCTTTTTCTTTAGGTGATAAAGCAAAAGACTGGTTGTATGATCTTCCCTCAGGTTCAATCAACACATGGAACGAGATGAAGAAATTGTTCTTGGAGAAGTTTTTCCCTGCTTCACGAGCTGCAAATATAAGGAAGGATATATGCGGCATTCGACAGATGACAGGGGAGTCGCTTTATGAATATTGGGAAAGGTTCAAGAAGTTATGTGCTAGTTGCCCCCACCATCAAATTCCAGACCAGCTCTTGATCCAATACTTCTATGAAGGTCTTCTGCCCATGGATAGGAGTATGATAGATGCAGCCAGTGGAGGAGTTCTTGTTGATAAAACACCAAGAAATTGCAAAGCAACTAATTTCAAACATGGCTGAAAATTCTCAACAGTTTGGATTGAGAACAGACGGAGGTGTTAAACTGACTAACGAGGTAAGTCATTCTGCTCTTGTCAATCAAATTTCTGATTTAACTTCTTTGGTTCGTCAAATGGCTGTAGGACAATTACAGGCAACTAGGGTTTGTAGAATCGGCACTAATTCTGGGCACCCAACGGACATGTGTCCTTCTCTTCAAGAAGACCCAACTCAACAAGTTAATGCCATAGGAGGATTTCCGAATCAACCACAACGAAAATATGATCCCTACTCAAACACCTATAATCCTGGATGGAGGGATCATCCAAACTTCAGTTATGGAAACCAAGGTGGACAACAAATATTTCCACATGTCTATAATCAGCCACCTCCATCTCATCCACCAAATTCAGGTACTTCTCTTGAGGAAATTGTTAAAAATCTTGCTATTAACACTCAACAATTTCAGCAGGAAACAAGGGCGAGCATCAAAGACTTGGGAAACTAAGTTAGCCAACTTGCCAACAGTGTGAGTAGA